GTCCCTTGTCAGATATGTTATTACCAAATATTTTTTCCCAATCTGTAGGTTCTCTTTTGACTCTTTTGGAGAAGTCTTTGGAAGGGTGCCCAGTTTTGTAGCCGTAGTAGCCCGAAGTGGACCACAGACCCGATGGTCACGGCCAAGCCGCAGGAGCCTTGAGTTCTGGAAGGTGAGGTAGAGGTGGGGCAGAGCCGCTCTGACCTGTCAACCCCTCTCAACCTGTAGGACGTCAGAGGCCGGAGATGGGCGCCCGGACCTCCAGACCACCACGGCAGCCCGCGGACCCGCCCATCGCCCTGGACGCACTGCCCCCGGAGCTTCTGGTGCAGGTGCTGAGCCACGTGCCGCCGCACGCGTTAGTGACGCGGTGCCGCCCCGTGTGCCGCGCCTGGCGCGACGTGGTGGATGGGCCTACTGTGTGGCTGCTGCAACTGGCTCGCGATCGGAGCGCCGAGGGCCGCGCGTTCTACGCGGTAGCCCAGCGCTGCCTGCCCAACAGTGAGGACGAGGAGGAGTTCCCGCTCTGCGCCCTGGCGCGCTACTGCGTGCGCGCGCCGCTGGGCCGCAACCTCATCTTCAACTCCTGCGGCGAGCGTGGGTGATGGGGGCGGGGCCGAGGCGACCCAGGGCGTGTGCTATAGGCGGGCCTGGGCGGGATCAGGGTTGGAGCAGTCAGTGGTTGTGATGGAAGGAAGAGGCGCATGGGAAACTGAGACGGAAGGGCCTGGGCGGGCAAGGGCGGAGCGACAGGTCGGGCTGGGAAAGAAACTGAGCCAGGAGTGGAGCCGAGAGAGAAGAAACAGACAAGCGATACCCGGGAGGAAACTGGGGGGCGGGGCTGTAGTAGAGAGTATTTTTAGTATTAGTGCTGGGAGGGCAGGCGTTTGGGCGTGGCTAGGGTGGGAGGCTCTCAGTTGAGGATCCGTGACATTTGAGATGGTTGTTGAGACATCGTGGGATGCTGTGTCAAACTCACTGCCATGGAGTCCATTCGGACTCACAGATTGCCCGATCTTTCTTCTGCAGAGCAGCTGGTGGTTTTGAAGTGCCTAAGGCATTTGACAGCTAACCAGAAGGCTAGCGGTTCAAACCCACCAGCCACTCCGCAGAAGGAAGACTGGGCAATCGACTTCCATAAAGATTTGCCGCCCCGGAAACCCAACGGGGGTCGCTATGAGTGAGAATCC